TTAATAGAAAAATGAATACTAATGGTAAGGGCTGGGCCTGGAGAGATGGCTTAGAGGTTAAGAGCAGAGTCTTCTGGAGGACCTGTGTTTAGTTCCCAGCACCCACATAATGGCTTGTAAGCACCTGTAAATTCAGTCTCAGGGGATCTGGCACAATTTTCTCATCTCTGTAGGCACCAGGCACACACACGGTACACGGACATACAGGTAGGCAAAACACATGTCTAGAGATGACTCTGGAAGCACTCCATGGGGAGGCAAATACTGTTTCAAAGGAATAAGGTGGAGAATGATACAGCAAGACACCAGACTTCTTTCTCTGGACTCTACACACACACACACACACACACACACACACTGAAAACAAAACAAGAAGAGACAAAAATCCAAGTCAAATGGTTTAGGAGTAGTTGCTTGGTTAGAATTAATTTAGAACCAACTATGAGGTAGGAATTGAAAATGACAATTACATACAAGACTTCTTTTTTCTTTTTAACTGTAATGAGGAACAGATAAAATGAGGTAATATAAAGAGTCAAGGCAAGCCTGTGGTGGTGGTGCATTCTGTAATCCCAGAAGTCAGGCTTGAGCAGGAGGGTTGAGTTTAAGGTCGGCCTGGGTTAAACAGAAAGACACTGTCTCATATGAGAAATAAGCCAGGTATTGTTGTGGAATATTAGTTGAAGATGAATTACACTTTTTTATGCTATGGATCATTTGTTTAATGATGCAAAGGTGTGTTACATTCTTTTATGTTGTTTGTTTAACTCTGTGAAGCTGTGTTACTTTGCCTGCCCAAAACACCAGATTGGTTTAATAAAGAGTTTTGTAGCCAATAGCTAGGCAGGAGAAAGGATAGATGGGGCTGGCAGGCAGAGAGGATAAATGGGAGGAGAAATCTGGAAGAGAAGATTGGGGAGCAAGAAAAGAAGGAGAGGCAGACACCAGGAGCCAGCCACCCAGCAACACAGCCAGTTGCGGAGAAAGAAGTAAAGAGAGGTATTCAGAATAGACAAATGTAAAAGCCCAAAGGCAAAATGTAGTTGGGATAATTTAAGAAAAGCTGGCTAGGTATAAGCCAAGCTAAGGCTGGGCATTCATAAGAAAGAATAAAACTCTGTGTGATTTATTTGGGAGTTGGGTGGTGGGCCCCAAAGAGCCAAAAGAGTAAAAAAGAAAAAACAAAAACAAACAAACAAAAAACCCCCAAAAAACCATGTCATGGTGGTACAGGTCTTTGATCCCAGCCCTTAGGAGGCAGAAGGTGGGTCTCTATGAATATGAAGCCAGCTTGGACTACACAGAGAGCTTTAGGCCAACCAGGGCTACAGAGGGTCAGTCACACTGTGTGTGGGGTAGGCCAAAGTATTTTTTGTGTGTGTGTGTGTGTGTGTGTGTGTGTGTGTGTGCATGTTTGTGTTTCATATAGAACCAGACCATGACGATATTTATTTGTTGTTGATCTTTTTGATCCAGTAGTCTGTCTAAGTTCATCTCTTCAGGTTTATGCCTTGGCCTGGCCATTTCCTGCCCAGGTTGGTTGCAGTCAGTGTCTTATCACAGCAACAGAGAAGAGTACTGGGCCAGTTAGTAAGCCACGAACAAAGGAAGAGTGAGGAGGGATGACAGGGAGTCACATCGTCCGTGATTTGCAGAGGAAAGTGGAGTCTCTGGAGGTGATAAGGGGAGCAGGAGATAGGTAAGAGTCCTGGGAGGGACGTGTCTGCAACAGGATGTTGATTCAAACATTCCCAGATGAGGCTGAGATAAAGTGGAAATCATGCATAGTAAAAACTGAAACATTTAGGATGACTGGGGAAGAACGGGATCTGGTGTTGGTGAGTATAGAGATAATGGATGACCTGGAGGCTGTGGTCTGAGACTGGGAGGAAAAATGTGGAGAGGTGTGGTGGGATTGTCTTTTGGTATTCTCTTGGGGCAAAGGCCGGCATGCTAAGGTAGAAATCTACAGGGAGGGAAATGTGCTGTTCTCTTTTGCAGATCTTGTTCGATGAAAGTTGCTGGAGCACTCCTGCTAGTATCTCATTTAGGATTTAGGATATCTCATTTAAAGTTCAGCTGTGAGATGTGGCTTATACATTTTTGCTTATTGTTACATTGTTAGGTTTTGATAATGTTATGATCACCTGCTAAAACAAGATGAGGTTTGCCAATGGTAACAGAGCATTCGGGAAGCAGAGGCAGGCAGATCTGATGTGAGTTAGAGGCCAGCCTGGTCTACAGAGTGAGTTCCAGGACAGCCAAGGTAACACAGAGAAACCCTGTTTTGAAAAAGCAACAAAATAAACGATCCCCCCAAACAAACATCTTTTTAGAATTCATTGTGTGTGTATGCATGGTGAGTGCCACAGTAGACTTGGAGGTCAGGGATAAATTTGTAGGAGTCAGTTCTCTACTGCCACTTTGTGAGTGGGTCTAAGGAATTGAATTTAGGGATTTGGAGTTGTTGACAAGGGCATTTATCTACTGAAACCATATCTCCTGCCCTGTTTTTGGTGTTTTGAGACAGAGTCTCAGGTAACTGAAGATGAAGAAGGGGAAAACGTATAGTATTTTAATTTAAAAATAATAAAAGACGTTGGTATGTGTATTTTAGCCTTGATATGAACCAATAGCTTTTTGATTTTTTGTTCCCCCAAGATAGGGTTTCTCTGTAGCTTGGGTTTCTTTGTAGCTTTGGAGCCTGTCCTGGAACTCACTTTGTAGACCCGGATGGCCTCTGCCTCCTGAATGCTAGGATTAAAGGCATGCGCCACCACTGCCTGGTGAGCCGAGTTTTATTTTTGTTATTATGTGTGTAGGCTTGAGAATGCCTTGTCCTGAGTCTGAATGTCAGAGGACAACTTTTGTGTGTTGTTCTCTCCTTCTACTATGGGGTTCTGGGGACTGGACTCAGGTTGTCAGGCTTGTCACCAGGCACCTTTACTGGCTGAGTGTCTTCCTGGTTCCCGGCTTTATAACCCTTGTGAAAAATTGCTCAAATATAATTAGGGTGTGTCTCACCCCTTTATTCTCAGTAGAGGCTGGGCTCTGTGAGTTTGTGAGTTTGAAACCTACCAGGGCTAGTAGTTCCAGGCTAGCCAGTACTACGCTATGAGACCCTGTCTCAAAAAAAAAAAAAAAAAAAAAAAAAAAAAAAGTTAAGGCAAAGTTATTTCAGAATGCTGTATCAGGGGACTAGAGAGATGGCTCAGCATTTAGGAGTCTATACTGCTTTTTGTAAAGGACTGGAGTTTGGTTCGGAGCAGTCCCATAGGTGGCTCACAACCACCTGTAACTCCAGTTCTAGGAGGATCAGAGCCTCAGCCTCTGCATAACTGCACATAGCGCTACACACGTAATGAGAATGAAATAAATCTAAAGTGAAAATGAAAATAAATCTTTTAAAAAGTTTGATAGATGCAGGGATTGTTGTAACACCATTTTGCAAGGAAGGACCGTGAAAAAAATTCTTTTCTTTGTATTTATATTTCTTGGGCTGCTGTATAAACCGTTCCACCACTCCTTTGTTACTATTCCATGTGATATCTCAAAGGTTGTACGGAAAAGAGCATATAGGAACAAGTAAACTTTAAATTGATCCCTTCAAAAAAAAATACGGTACTAAGAAAATACTAAAATAGTCATTTGGGGGATTATTTTAATTCCGTGGAAATAAAGTGCCCGCGTTTTGTTGCTCGGACTGTACACTACTGGGCCAACAGAGGAGAATAACCGCGTCCTTAGGGCACGGAGATCCTGTTTGTCGTAGGCTCTTTTTCCAAATGCTATCTTAGAATACTGCAGTAATAGATTTACTCAGGACTAGTTCGAAAAAGTATTGACAAGGCTGAGAAGAGGAAAAATATGCAAAAATATTTTTAAAAAAGTACTAGAAAGAATCATTGGGAATTAAATTCGCCGGTAGGACTCTGCCACAACCGTTATCGTGGAAAACCGGACTGCGCAACTGGCAGTGGAAAATTCCAAGTTTTCTTAACTTAACCCGGACAGCCTCCTTTAACTCCCAGCCGGACACGTCCCACCCAAGGCAGTTCACAGCCTTTGAAGGACATTTTCGCGCCATTTCGCTCAAGGAGTGAAAGGTTAAGTCCACCCTAGCTTTCTTCAGATTTTCCACAATCGCAGGAGGCTGGAACCTGCAGAGCTTGCTCTGAGAGGACCAAAGGGGAAAAACCCGAAGTCTCACCCAAGGGGTCGAGGGAGGAAAAAAAGGCGACAGATTAAGGCGTTTGCGG